TTTTGTCAAAGGCAGATACATGCTTCGGAAAAGCAAATAATTTATTTAAAGTGTTATTTAGTAATAATGAATTTAGTAAACAACATATGGATGTGAAAGAATTGTTTTATTTAAAACATTTTGGCGTTTGGAAAATAAAATAAAAGTAGCGAATACTCTATCAAGGGTATCGAAAGACGTATATAATTTTAAATGTACCGTAAGGTATTTTTCATTCTTTAAGCATAACATTTTTCTTAAAATCTATATTTTTGTAGTTCAACAGCTTAGAATTTTATAAAACAAATTCATAATCAAAATCGCGCTGTTGTTAGTTATCGAAAAATAACTAAGATGTGATTTTTGCGTAAATGTTACTAAACTAGACAAATTGCTATTATCCATCACACTATAAATGTTTCTTTCATGCGAAACTGTCCCTTTTTTTATTTGTATGAAACTGTCGTGTGTCGAAATACTATCAGAACCGTGTCAAGCGAGCTTCTGAATGTAAACAAAGAACACCCCATCTGGTGACCGAAGCTTCAAAGTAGCGCTTCACTTCTAGTGCCGACTGGTCCCTCCTTCCTTTCCTACCTCCATGGATCTAAAGGAGGGGAATTTGACCTGGGAGGGCGCTGTGATCACGTACGATGGAGGCAGGATCTTAGAAGAGCTCCTAAATTTTCAAAGGAGTTTTTTCAGAAAATATTCATTTATTTAAGAAAAATTTTCGCGAATATCCTCTACATTGTCTCGTTCTCAAAACCGAAAGTTTTCCTGTACCTGAAGGTCTTATCTTCCTTGCAATCTTTTACAACACCAAGACGGAACATTCAGATAAGTAGAACTTCTTTTCTCTAAGCTAAATCAAATATCTGTCACTAAAGTACCTTTAAATTCATTTATTTATTATGATCATTATTATTATGCTCATTTTATTATGTTCTGGCATTAAATACTTAGTAATTGCTTTAAATCATGGTTTTTTTTTTGTTTTTTTTTTTTTTTTTGGTTACCATCTCGTAGGGACGCTATCCTTATCAGTAGTGTAGTCTGTTAGCGCTACCCATTGGGGCCCCTTTGAGGAATTTCTCGAGAGGGAAAAAACACGATCTTGGGCCTCAATGAATGTATAGATTTGTAGTTTTTGCTCCTTTAATCTATATTTCCTATCTATTTAAATTAAAAGCATATATTAATACAGTGTGCCTCAAATTGATAAAATAGTACACATATAATAAATTATGACCATTAACTTAATAAATAAATAAAATGCTTATTTTTTTAAAAAATTAATTAATATTAAAAATAAAAAAAACTCTGTAATTTTATTTACTTATTTATTTTTGCTGATGTGTTCTCGCCTTGTTTTAGATTTATGATTTTATCTGATGGTGTTTTCTGAGTATATGAATATGTTGGAAACCGCAATAGATGATGTTACTTAGTTAATGTATAATTTTGCATGATATTATATGTATCTTGATCTTATGTGTCTTCTGTTACTGTGTCTCAAGGTAGAGGCTAACATATTGTTTCCCATGTTAAAAAATAAAAGTTTTTAATTTAAAAATTTTTAAATTTTAGTTTCCCTGTTATAGCAAAAGTTAGCTTCTAAACTAGACTTATACTGTTATGTGACTGGACCCCAATATTTATATTTTATTATTAATTTTTCCCCATCTTCACATCTATTCAGCTTTACAAAACACACTCATTACACACACCTGGAAGACTCTATTTAATGTAAATGATAACAACTTCCTTTGACTACACTCATGGACACAATCGTGGTTTTTTTTTTTTTTTTTTTTAAACAAAATTCTCTTACTTCCTTTCCTTTTCTTTCTATAGGCCCTTTTTTTAAAAAAAAATTATAAACATAATTTTTTTTCCTCTCCATTACTTTTGGGCCATTTATTTTTTACTTTATTTTGTCCCATCTTTTCTTCCTGGCCTTTCGAACTCGTATAAAATATACGAAGTTCCTTTTTACTCTCCTCTGAAATACGAAATTGCCCCCCCCCCTTTCTATATACCTTTTCTTCGCACCTATGCTTGATTTTTCGCCCGTCGGTGCAGAAAGACTTAGCGGGTGTAACAAAAGACATCTGTCTACTTCGTCTGTCTGTCTGTCAATCCAATCCCAGGTGGCGCTGTTATCACGTACGATGGAGGCAGGATCTTAGAAGAACTCCTAAATTGTCAAAGAGTTTTTTCAAAAAATGCTCATCTATTTAAGAAAAATTTTCGCGAATATCCTCTACATTGTCTCGTTCTCAAAACCGAAAGATTTCCTGTACCTAAAGGTCTTATCTTGTAATCTTTAACAACACCAAGACGGAACATTCAGATAAGTAGAACTTTTTTTCTCTAAGCTAAATCAAATATCTGTCACTAAAGTACCTTTAAATTCATTTATTTATTATGATGACTATTATTATGCTCATTTTAATATGTTCTGGCATTAAATACTTAGTTAATTGCTTTAAATCATGTGTTTATTTTTTTGTTTTTTGTTTTTTGGTTACCATCTGGTAGGGATACTATTATTATCAGTAGCCTTTATCAGTAGTGTAGTCTGTTAGCTCTACCCATTGGGGCCCCTTTAAGGAATTTCTTGAGAGGGAAAAAACACTATCTTAGGCCTCAATGAATGTATAGATTTGTAGTTTTTGCTCCTTTAATCTGTTTTTCCTACGTAATTAAATTAAAAGCATATATTAATACAGTGTGCCTCAGGTTTAACGCAAGTGTAACACTTTAATATAACTCTCCTACGTTTAATCTAAATACGTATGACCTCGGCTGAGGCAAAACGGTGTTTGCAAATTAGGTTTTCGCGCTGCGAACACTCAGTATAACATTTGTAGCCCATTTTCTAACACATAGAGTTCATAATAATGAAGAAAATATGCCCTCAGTCTTTCCTGAAGATAAGCAAGTTGTCAAAGTTCTTTGAGGGTACTGTGTCGTCGAATGAATATAAAGCCGATAGAGTCTATGCTAGGTCAGGCTGCAGTAGCCTAGAAGGTGAGATGAGCTGTGAGCGAAGGTAAGTGCGCATGGAGTGAGAAAGAAATGCCTTTTTATCGCAGAGAAATTGCTTACACAATCAATCTGTCTATACATATGACTATACTAATGAGTAAAATTAAGTGGAATAAGGAATTATTAGAATATATACAATTAACACATATAGAAATACAAGTTACATACACAAGATAAGTAGTTTTCTTTATTATTATTATTATATTTTTTTTTGGTTGATTTAGTATTTTATTCTATTTTTAATAATTTTAGCATATATATTCTAGATTTACAGAGACATATACAAAAACACAAACACTAATATGTACAGGTGGCTAAGGAAGGTGCCTTAGCGCTGCTAAGGGTCTTTTTCTGTTTACATTGCTATTATAATCATAACTGAGAATTGGGTATAGACGATTCTGGATTGTATGCAAGTTGTCAAAAAAATTTTTAGCTAACTTAGCTATGTAAGCTTGGAATTCGGGTATTTTGAATTCACGGCGAATTTCCGAGTTTCTAAAACCCACGACAATTCACCGCTTCACGAAGTATGACATTTTGGGCAATTTGAATGCTATTGATAGAGGTAATGCAGGCATAGCCCCAGGCAGGACAGGCATAAGAAAGCATGGGTTGCAAAATGGTCCTGTAAATCAGTAATTTGTTATCTACAGATAAAACGCAGTTCCATTTTTATCACCTGACCAAGAATAAGATTGATAACAAAGCAAATTATTTATTTACTTTATAGAAAGCATTTTATTTGACCTTACGAATTAAAATGCATTTTTATATTTTATATGACACATTTTCTTTTACATAAACAAAAAAATTAATTAAAAAATAAAATCACTGCCTCTAAACCTAGAAAACAATGTGTGTGGGTCATTAACATAGTTTAGTTAAATGCATGAGCTCGCCTTCCTTAAAAAGTCTATTGTTTACAAATAATGTCATTTGATCTCTAAAGGAACAAACTCATTGCTGCAGTTCTATAAATTATATGATGATATATTAAAATAAAAACCTTTGAATTTAAGTTTGTTGTTGTTGTGACTTTTCTGACAGTAACATCAGAACAAGCCCACGAAATTCATCGCGGTAAAGAACGTAAGATTGCGCCTGTCGTTGACAAGATTCTTGAGCACCACACAGGAGACTGTACGATGTTACTCAGTTCCGTCCCCCAGTTTTCATGGAGAGCACCCCGGGGGACGGGTCTAAGAGTTTCCCATTCTTCTGTCCCTACCGCTACAGAGAACCTTTGGCTTGCCGCGTATTTAGAGTGGCCCTTGCCGCACAGTCATTATACATTTACAAACATCCATACCTTCTCCGGAGTACGACAGTCAGCGCAAATTTAAATTTTGGGTATATAATAAAAGAAAAATCAATTGAGTAAAAAAAATCATAAAAAGGCTTTAAATTCAGTCAGGAAGCTGGAAGAAATCTGTCCAATAGGAAGAAGGTCGCATTTCTGAGCTTTTTATTAATTTCCTTATTAAATGACCATGTATGCAAAAATTTTGCAGAACATTTCTTTAAAACTAAGTCTAATAAAAAAAATACGAAATTGTGACGAAAATTAAATTAAAGAAGTACACAGAAAATTTTGATGTCATCACGAATGCAAAATTGAGCAAAATTTCTAGAAAATCATTTCTATGGAAGTAGTCTAAAATTTATTTGAAAACTTTACTCAAACAACTAGTCCAAATTAAAATAAAAATTAACTAAAATTACGTAAAACTGAATCTGGAGTCTTTTGAATGAATATATGTACATAAAGCAAATTATCTCTTTAACGAAACACTACATTTAAACTAATAAAACCTAAATAAATAGTACATTTCGTTAGATTTATTTACATCATTAATTAATGCGAAAGGACAACAATGAAAATGGAAAAATATATTTAGTTTTTAATCTCTGCTTTAAATAATTTTTTGCGATGGCATATTGATATTTCTTCGCACGAGATTAAAATAAAAAATATTTAACCTTCAGTTGAATCGCTTTTGAATAATAATATGTAAATCTTGTTAGGTTTGATGATTAATGTATTTCGAGAAAGCGCGGAAGAGCTTTATTTGCCAAGAGGATGTATGCTTTTCTACGGGACTTTCTAAGGGATAATGCGCTTGTACGAAGACGCGAAAGTTACCTCGGAGCCAGTTCTTTCGCTTGCATTTTGAGTCCGAATGAAATTGCTAGTCTTTAACGATGTTACTTCTTGCCCGCTGGTTGGTTTTATATAAATCTTAAATACTTATACATAAGCTAATTATCCCTTGAAATGAGTAATATTTATATAATGCTAATAAAACAGTACATTTCATTAGCTTCATTTACTTATTAGACGAGAAAAATATTAAAAAGAGCAAACTTTGTTCAATTTCTGATATAAACGGCTGCAATCCGTTAACGCCTATCTTGACTTTCGGTTTAAGTTTGGTTTTGAAGATAATGTTTCCGTTGTGAGCTGCTACTATCAAAGGCTAGTACTGATAAGCAGTCGAGTGTATGAACTTGAGAGATAAGTGGTATTTTCTGACTAAGTGGTCTACTATGCTGAATATGCACACAGCATGCAAAGCAAGTTAGTGTTTTAAACAATTATGCTGCAGAAAGCATGCAATATAGATAGGTAGGTACTTTTAGTTCTGCTCCTTCGTTGCGTGTTTCCATTCACTTTATGGATAACCTTTTTTTCCATTCAGTGATGGGACCGAAATGATCTGTTTTTCCCGAATGGGAGTTCGTTATATTGCAACAAAAATTATATTTGGCGTTTTACAAATTTAAAGGTAATGAAGTGAGGAAGACTTATTAAGAATATCATGATATTGAAATTTCTGAAGACATGGTTACATCATGATTTATAAATACAATAGCAATAATATTCTTTGAAAGTGTGTGCATATTTTCCTGAAATTAGAGTTTTTTTAGAATCGAAACTAATGTTTTTATTTAAAGCTCAAGATGGCCAGCATTTGTATGGCACCAGGACTCTACGATGCATTTTTTTTAAGGTTAGAAATATGTACTGGAAATAATAAATAAGAGCTATTTCAAGATAGTAACTAAAATTGGTTAATTTTTTTTTTTTCAAACAGTTTATCAGATAGAATAATACACATTAAATGTTAAGATTAAGCCCGTAAGAAATTTAGAATGTCAATTTGATTTACATTAAAAAGCTATATGTTTTAAAGTTTCAAGATTTAAAATATTTTAAAGTAGGGTAAGGTTGCGCAAGTCATACTACTGCTTAGGTCGTACCTTATAAGGTATTTTCTCCTTCCTCCCAGCATACCTTCGTGGTGTAACGGTAGCACACTCGGCGCGTGTTCCAGAGATCTAGGTTCGAGTCGATAGGCATTGCACATTTTTTCACATTTTCTGCATCAGAATATCCTAATGACTACAAACTTTTAAATATTTAACGTAATATCGCGGCAACTGCGCTTCTTCCGGCAAAAGAAGTTTCTCGCTAGTTAACCATATTGTTTCACCTTGTGTTTATTTCCCTGTATTATTTGAGAGGATAACCGCGACGAGAGTATGATTAAGTGCCTAAAATGCAAAGAATGGGTACACGACATATGTGCTGGAGTTGAAAAGAAAATGAAGAAATATCTTTGGGATCATTGTTGTAATTAATCGTATAAATATATTAATTGAGAAAAAGAAAGTTTTATTATAATTGTCCAATTTTAAACTTAGGTCCAGTTTTAAACGACTTAAGCTAAAGGGCTTAGAATACTGGTTTTCTAAGTCTTATTAGGTTTGTGTTCATAAATTTTATTGATTTTATGCAAAAGAGTAGACTGTATGGAATTTTATTGTTGCAAATATCAGCAACGACAACACAAGATATTACCACACATAATTTTTAATATTTCATAGATCGTACGATTTATACTTATTTTTTCTTAGCGGATACGACTGAGTGAGAATACTGTAGGCTTTCATGAAACGCTTACCACAATAAATTTCCAATGATTCTTATTATAGGAAGTTAGGATAGAATGCATTGCTTAATGTACAGAAAAGTTCGCCACAATTTTGATTAAAATCACTATGAATTTATGGGATCGAAGATCATTTTACTACTTTTTCTCTGCCACCAATTCTCTTAATTTGGATTGATGTAGTATTTTAAATGCTCCCATTCAACAACATAATACAGTCTCAAGTATGTATGTTTTAGATGGGATTCTAATATCTGAGCTTATCGGGCCGCTCAGCTGGCATACTTTTTTTTTTTTTTTTTTTTGTTTGTTTGTTTGATTAGGAATTGTTTTCTACCTGTTTCTTGGCTTGTACTGAAGAACACTACGGCATGGCCTAATTCAATGTTAAGAGCATTATAATATTAAAAAAATAGGCTCTCTAGATATTGAATATGCGATGAAAATAATAAATTCTGAATGTAAAAGCGATCTTTAGGAAGATAAAGCAGGAAAGTTTATTTAACTGTCTAAAGAAAAGATTCTTAAAATTTTGAAAAATATTTTATACTTAAAACACTTTATTTACAAATAAAATACTTTTTTTTTTCTAATATATGATAAATTCTTAAATGACTATACTTTAAATAAAATTAGATTTTATAAATTATAAAATCTGATGTGTACACCACATGACTTCCTTGTACGGAATAGGCACAGCTTTAGTATAGCCCACCTGGAATTTTAAACAAAAAAAATATCACCAAGAGCGGCGATAAATGATATGATCTGGTAACCCATACAATTAGCCAAACGCAGTGTAAACAAGAGGATGGAATTACGGTTACAGCTAATTTAGTAGTCAGTTACATTTATTCAAATTCAATACAAATTACCGACATATCCGTTTACTCAAAGTTTAATGCACGTGCCCTGTATTCTTACTTTTCCGGTATAGGTTTCTCTTAAAATTTGTCTCACGCTGCGTTGCAGGGGGAAATACAACATTTTTAATTAGAATTCTACTAAAATTAATATCTAAATACGCAATTCGTAACACTGTTATTGGCGATTGTTTAACGGTCAGATACCGTGAATACTATTTTGTATATATATTTTTGGCTACTTGAGGTGATATTTTTGCGTTTAGTTATTGCTTGCTCTAAAACTGCTGTTAGTGATGTTGTAATTAAGTATTCAGGGAGATTATAAAGGAAAATTTAACGGTGGGAGTTTTGCAAACAAAGCGTAAAATTTTGGGAAATAGATATTTTATGTATGAATTAACAATAAAGTATGAACCTTTTTAGAGGATTTTTGATGGATTGTCGATTACTGAAGGATAACGTTTTCTGTGAAAAATGTAAGATACCATGCTGATTAGTTAGTCAGAAAAAGTCATCGAATGGTAGTATTTGCAAGAAATGTACGGCTGAGAAATCAGTTAGGCTAGGATCTTGATTCGCCTGTAGTAAGCTCAATTTTTCTAGAAACTTTTTTTTTTTTTTTTTCCAACGCGAATCAATGGAGTTGCTTATGCGCGCATTTCTGCAATACTCCGATTTCTTTTAAGTGAAAGAAGATTTCTTAGTATATGAGCAATGCAGTGTTTATTCAATTTCTGATTTTTAAGTAAAAAGAGATCGCTATATACATGGGCTAAGCCAATGCAGTGCGCAATGCCGAGGTTGTGCGCGGTGCCTAGTTTGTGCAATTCTAGGATTTTTTTTAAGTGAAAATAGATCGATGTGTACATGGGCACAGCCAATGTAGTGCGCAATGCCGAGGTTGTGCGCGGTGCCTAGTTTGCGCAATTCTAGGATGTTTTTTAAGTGAAAATAGATCGATGTGTACATGGGCAAAGCCAATGTAGTGCGCAATGCCGAGGTTGTGCGCGGTGCCTAGTTTGTGCAGTTCTAGGATGTTTTTTTAAGTGAAAATAGATCGATGTGTACATGGGCAAAGCCAATGTAGTGCACAATGCCGAGGTTGTGCGCGGTGCCTAGTTTGTGCAACTCTAGGATTTTTTTTAAGTGAAAATCGATCGATGTGTACATATGCAAAGCCAATGTAGTGCGCAATGCCGAGGTTGTGCGCGGTGCCTAGTTTGTGCAATTCTAGGATGTTTTTTTAAGTGAAAATAGATCGATGTTTACATGGGCATAGCCAATGTAGTGCGCTATGCCGAGGTTGTGCGCGGTGCCTAGTTTGCGCAATTCTGGGATGTTTTTTTAAGTGAAAATAGATCGATGTGTACATGGGCAAAGCCAATGTAGTGCACTATGCCGAGGTTGTGCGCGGTGCCTAGTTTGTGCAATTCTAGGATGTTTTTTTAAGTGAATATAGATCGATGTGTACATGGGCAAAGCCAATGTAGTGCGCTATGCCGGATGTTTTTAAGTGAGGTTGTGCGCGGTGCCTAGTTTGTGCAATTCTAGGATGTTTTTTTAAGTGAAAATAGATCGATGTGTACATGGGCAAAGCCAATATAGTGCGCTATGCCGAGTTTGTGCGCGGTGCCTAGTTTGTGCAATTCTAGGATGTTTTTTAAGTGAAAATAGATCGATGTGTACATGGGCAAAGCCAATGTAGTGCGCAATGCCGAGGTTGTGCGCGGCGCCTAGTTTGTGCTATTATAGGATGTTTTTTTAAGTGAAAATAGATCGATGTGTACATGGGCAGAGCCAATGTAGTGCGCAATGCCGAGGTTGTGCAATTCTCTGATATTTTTAAGGTGGAAATAGATGGATGTGTACATGGAACCGAGTTTGTGCAATTCTTTGATGTTTTTCGGGCGAATATGGATCGTTGTTTACAAAGGAAAACGAGATAATGTGTGATGACGAACTGTAATGTAACGTATTTTATATGCAATGTTTAACATATCGTTTGTGTATTTTAAATTTGTATTGTTGTTTTAATTGTGAATTATATTTAAGACATGATTTTTCATTTAAATTGTATTTTAATGTTTTGGTTTTGATATGTTTATAATGCTTTCCGACTTACGATATATATCGATAGCCCGACGATCTACCCAACAGTAGCAAAACTGTAAACTTTGACCCTATAAGTAACTTTTACCTCATTATTATAATACGTAGTGTTTGCAATCGTAATCGCACTTGATAATATGAGTTCTTTGATAATACAGTGTCTCACAAAAGGGATGGGACACTTGTGCTTTACAAAAGGAAACTGTAATAAAATAAATTAAAAAAACATGTAAAAATTTTTTGTGGGTGTGTTTCATACTTAAATTTAGTAACAATTATTACATCACATACATTTTCTCAAAATATTAATTTAATAAAAATACATTTGTTTAGAACGGAACAAAAAATGGCTCACATAAGTGATGGGACACCATTAGATACGTACTATGCAACAAAAATCGTCTGAAGTAAGCAATAAAAATATTTTTTTGGGTTTTTATTTTTACTCAAAGCAATTGGCAATAATTTATCGCAATCGTCTGCAGTATGTCTTTCCAGTTTGTTTTGGAATTTTTGTGTTATTTACCTCTGTGCAGCCATGAATGCTAAACGAAAAGAAACTTTGCCTGAAATTCGAAAATTAGTTATTAAGTTGCATATTGAACGTGGAAATTCTATTAGAGAAACTGCTGAAAACCGTTAACCTGAGTCATTCAACAGTTTTTAATATCATTAAACGATATAAAAAGAATCATATG